AGATAACCAAATCAAATCCGGAACAAGGAAAATCATGAGATCGCGAAACAATGCTCAGATAACAAAAATGAATATACCGTCGGAGAAGAAATTAAATTTCGAGCAAGACGCCGACAAAATTTCCAGCGACCGCCCCCGCACGCGCCGGCAAGGCGTCCGACCACCGGATTCTTCGTCGGGCGCGTGAGACACCGATGCACCGTAGTCGCCGCGATTTTCCATATGTTAGCAGGTCTTGCGGCGGCGCACCTAGCGATGGTGGCAGTGTCGATAAGAAACAACCAGAAGATAGGGAAACGGAAGGGCAGTGTATTTGTGCTACACGGGGAAGGGAAGAAGTGGAAGAAATCGGAGATTTAGATACTATACTGAAATAATTGATATAAACTGGATTTCTTAAAATAATAATTGAAGTACGGGGTTTTGGACTGGAATATATATATATATATATACAATATATCAACCGTTTTTATTTATTCATTGTTTTTAGTTTGAAGGTATATAAGGAGAAATGAGGGAAACGAAAGAATTTTGTACGTGGTTGATGTATTTATTTATTTTAGTGGGGAAGAAGATATACATTATATCATTTTCTTTTCCATTTTAATTCGGAAGAATTTGAAAGAGGTATTTTATTAAAAATATGTTTACTTAATTCTATATACGCACATATTTTATTATATTTTTCAATTTTAAAATATTTTATTCATTTATTTTTATTCTATTTAGTATTGAAATTAGAATATTAACGTATATATTTGTAATACATTTAATTATATATTTTAAATCATTTTAATTATAATATCATATTTAAAAAGAAAAAATTATATAACAAATATATAATTATACTTTAATACTATAAAATATTAAATAAATATATTTAAACTAATTAAAATTAAATTATTAGATTTAGTACTAATAATTAAGTAAGTATACTTTATACTTTTTTATTTTTTTACTATTTTTGAATAAATTTGCGTATATCTATATTTTAATTTCAATAAAAATATTTGTATTATGAAATAAACTATATCACATTACTTATATTTTTTGTGTCGGATTAGATATTTTATTAATAAGTTATTCAAATTTTATTATGTAATTTTATTTTATTTATTTATATATTATAGGGGCATTATTATAAAATTATTTATTTATTTATTTATTTTTACATTCTTTTTCTAACCGAGAAGTATTACTTTTTATTCATTATACTTTTCTCTATTTTATATAAATCAAACATATTACTCCATCTGTCCGAATACAATAGTCTTATTTATCATTTTTATTCGTCCCAAACAATAGTCTGATTTTCATAAATAATCATATCACTATAAAATTACCTTTACGCTTTCATTGTTATTACACATTTGCCACTACTTTTTATGTTAATATACTCACAAGGACAAAAAAATTTTTATCCATATTTTTTACTCATTACAAATATAATATCAATATTACTTAAATTTCGTATCAAATATAATCTACTGACGGAGGGAGTATTATAATTTTAATTTTGCTATTCCGTTGCCTTCTTCATTTCCATAATAATTTATTCCCTCGTTTGAATCAAACAAGTCCTAATAGAAATAAAAAAAATATATTATGCCACTCAAATTTAGAAATTAAAAAAGAAAAGAGAAAAAGAAAATAATATTGAAAAAGTATTGTTGGATAATTGTTTTATATGGATAGTATCTATCTTTAAATATGTACTCATTTAATTCATTTTTCTAATTGTATTTATATTTTTAATGTTAAATATGTACTCATTTAATTCATTTTTCTAATTGTATTTATATTTTTAATGAATTTAACTATTTTAGTTTTATATTAAAAATACTTGTTCGGGGATTGAATTTTGAGTTGGGATTTGAATAGTAAAAATTTTGAATTAAATAGTTGTATGATGTGATATAAATAGGTGTTGATGTGATGTTTTGAATTTAAATTAATTTTTTAGTATAATATAAAAAATAAAAAATAAGGATTTGATTTGATATTTTTGGGGGGAAAAAATATGATACAACAGTGGAAATTAAATCCAATCCCCCAAACAAACCCACCCATATTTATGTATACACAAATGTCTTCTTTTTTGTTTTTTAAATCAACACATTTTTTTAAAAAATATATATATTATATATACTCATTATTTTTATATTACAAATTATTTCAAAGACAAATATAATCAGAAAGTATTTATTTTGGATGTTGGTTTAATTGTAATAATTTAGCTACTTTTATTGCTTGTTTCTATACGGAGAAATTAGAATGTAAGAATTATATGACTTTTATATGGAAGGGAAAAAAATGATTGGATAAATAAAAGAGATTATGCAAAAATATTCTAGTTTTAGAAATAATTAGAAAGTTTCAAAAATTTAAAATACTCCCTCCGTCCCAAATACCATGTCCACGTTGCCCTTTTTGTCCGTCCCACATACCATGTCACTTTTCTTTTTTGGAAAATGATTACACACTTTAATCTCATTTTAAATTTTTTAATTTTATTTTTTTATACTTTTAATTAAACTAATTAGTTATCTTAATCTTAATTTATAATTATTTATATTATAGGATAATTATTTTCACTAATACATTCTTAATTATCTACTAATTACACCCCTCCTAAAATACCTTATATACAGTTTAGCAGATACCATATATGGGACGGAGAGAATATAAAAGTAGGCAATAAAAATAATATATATATTAAATGAGAATTTGTATATAAAATTAATGAATTTGGGAAAATTATTTGAATATACTATTACTTATAAATAATACTATTATCAAATATGCATATTTTTTAGGAAAAATATACTGTTAAAGGTACAAAAAAGTATAAATCATTTCATATGTATTTTTATTGAATGACCTTGCGTTCTTTTAGTTTTTTTTTTTTCAATAGGATCTCTTTAAAAAAAATTTAATACATTAGATATATTTATTATTTTTATATTATCTACATAATTAATTATAATTCACATAAAAAATAATTCATTTAATCTATTTTACAAAATAAACACTTATAGTCAAAAAGTTTTACCAAAAATTCAAATTAAATAAAATATATGTTGATATGACTGATCGTGGATTGTGATTGTATTTATATTTTATATTTTTATGTAAAAAACTAAAATAGAATATAATAGTAATATTTTATAAAAAATATATCATGTGTCTTTTCACTCAATTTATTTTTGAGTGACGCGATTTTCTATAAATATTTTTTTAAAAAAAATATAATATATATTATGTATATACTCTATTTATTGAATACAAAATACTATTAAAAAAAACAAATGGTGAACACACCCTAAACAAAAGTATGTGTATACTAGGAGTTTGTTTGTAGGAGTTTGTTTGTAGCGTTGATTTGGAGATTTTTTTTTTTTTATTATAAAATATAAAAATTTGTATCGGTAATATAAAAAATAATTTTTTATAGTGAATATTAGCTTTTGTAAGATTATAATATATATATATATTAATAATTGTGTAAAAAAAAAATATATATTGTGCAAACAAACCCTAAAATTTGTTATTTTATTCTTTTCAGTAATTTTTTTTCTTTATATTTTTATTTTTAGTAAATATTTAAAAATACTAAAATCTATCTAGTTCAAAACATTTTTATAATTTTCTACAACTAACATTAAAATTTCTTCATTTTGAATTTTGATTGATTCGCGCTTGTATGTGGATTTGAGATTTAGATTTGTAGATTTGAATATTTAAAATTTTGTATTAGAAATACTTTTACTATAATATAAAAAATAAATATTTTAAAAAATTAATAAATACTCCATCTGTCCAGTAACATTTTTTATTTTTATTTGTTCATAAAAAATAAATATTTTAGAAAATTAATAAATACTCCATCTGTACAGCAATATTTTCTATTTTTGTTTGTTCATTCACTTTAATTAAATAATGTTTTATTTATTTCTTAATGTATACTTCATCATTCCCATTCATTGTATTTTTTATTTATTATTTTAGTCTGTATCATTTAAAAATATTTATTTTTAATTATAATAAAAATAATCATATCCAAATACCTAAATACCAACTTTTACAAAAATATTTATTTAATTTGTAATTTTAAAGCACATTTTAATTCACTAAATAATAAAAAATTATTACTTTTTGATATATTATAAAAAATAAATAAATTAGACCGGAACAGAATAAATATTATTCAATATTATATTTATTTGCAAATATATTGCTACTAATTGCATATTTAATATATATTCTTATTTTATTAATTTATTCATATATTTTTTAAATATTATTCTTCTCATCTTACATATTTTGCAATATTTGTTACTTTGATCATTTCACGTATTTTTCAATATTTTTAAAATAAAAAATATTTAATTATACTTTATCTTATAAATAAAAAGTTAAATATATATTTTTCTAATTATATTACTTAATTTTCAATTTATTCTATTCAGTACTATCCATATAAATTTTTATGCCAGAATCAAATATTTCACTATATGTGGACAGACAAAATACTATTTATATAACAAGTAATTACCATAATATTGTATTATTTAAAATCTGTCTCAAATTTAAATAAATTCAAATATATATCTTTTTCCGTCTCAATTCAATGTATTCGTTGTCCATTTATTCAAATTATCTATATTCTATTATTCATATATAAATATCAAAATATTTCTAATATTTATAAAAATATTGATTTATTTTTAAATTTATAAAATAATATCAAAATTCTACATACTCTTTTATTAACAAAATATTATTATGCATTAACATATTACAAAAATCTAAAAAATCATTTTGAATTGAAATTAGAAAAAATATATTGAAATTTGTTTATATAAATTTGACCTAAAGAAGGGAATAGTAAAATTTGGGTTGACGAAAAGACTTATCGTGAAGCAACACAACCATAGGCTGCTCAGCCTTTTTAAGAAAGTAGGGACAAAAGAAGTCGGCGATGTCCATTTCGTACATGTAGGCGCTGAGATAAATAGGGCGAGGTTTTTGTGCTGTCCCCCTCAGACCAAAAGCCTATTGCAGCAGCAGCAGCAGCAGCAGCAGCAGCTTATCATTGTCCAAAAAGGACCCGCTCGACTGATGATGAGTTGATACCGTCAGAGCCAGAAAGAAAGAAATAAAGAAAAGATGAATGTGAATCTTTGATCCACAAATCCCCTCGTCTCACCTCTCTTCTTGTCCCCCGACCCGCTGCAATCACCATGTATAATAAAAAACAATAGTCCTCAAAAGTTCCCTATGTTTGGGCGATTGTGCCGTCAGATTTTTCTATTTTAGCCCCGAATTCAGCGGGAGGTGAGGTCCCACCTGACCTAAAGAAGAAGAAGCAGAAGCAGCAGAAGGTATCCGGGGGGCTTGGAGGAAGAAGAAGAACAAGAAGAACAAACGTGGAAAAAGATAGACGCCCCCCTCAGATTAGATTGGTGTATTTTACTTCAATCGTCTTCTGTTTCTGCTGTCTCTCTCCTCGATCGATCCAGCTCGATCGCTGAATGCAGGTAGGTTTCCGGCCAGTTCGATCGATTAATTTTTTGCTGGGATTTGCATAATCCGTTGAATTTTGGGGCAGGGAGGGGATTTGCGGATAAACCCTAATTTGGGCTTTTTTTTTGGCTAAATTAGGGTTTTCTAGTGTTTGGATACGCGATCCGATTGGTTTAGTGTCTACTTGGCCTTTCATTCTGCCTTTCGTTTGATTAATTTGGTTGATTTCCTGTCGATTTCAATTTTGAGGTATTTGGAGGAAATGATTGTTGCTGATGCTTTGATGTATCTAGTCGTTGGGGTTCGTTTGTGCTTCTGGGAGTTTCAATTCTCTATTATGGTCATTATTGCATTTCTGTGAATCTGATTGATGGTATTTACATAGACTTTATACAGTGGGTCAATCTCAATCGAATGCAAGGGCAGAGAATGGGAGGGTTTACTTGTGGTATTGCTAATAGAGAACTTGTATGTTGATTATGCATGTTTCCAGTCGCTACCTTCTGTTGATCAAATGAAATTTTCAAGTGGCAATGTGGATAATGATTCCTGTATCCCTTAATTGGCAAAAGTTTTTGTTTTTCCTAATGGTGCTGCTTGTGTTATGCTTCGGGTTAAAGTGCAGTTAGTGACATGTTGTTATCTTGTTTCCTTGTATTCGTGTTAATGCTGTTTGCTATTAAATGTTTCAGGTGAAAATGCTCGAGCATTCATGTAATCATAAGTTCATAACATACGAAACCTTTTTATTTCTATATAAGCGCAGCCAGTTTCGACACGTAGCATGCGCTCTGCTTTACGCATTTTACACGTCATCACTTGACATTATCTGTGATATTTCCAGTTATTTGTTACGAATAATATTTATCTCCTGACAATAAATGATCTTTATTTCGATTTGCTAGGACTTACTAGTTTTTAGCTGCGAAGGTTCTGATAATTTTGGAATACAAACGATTCTATTGGAATGAAATTTCTGCTATGACTGGTATGGACGGAAATACAAGATACGAGTTGACATCAGCCAGTCCCGACTCCAGTTTTGCTGGGAACTATCAAAATGGGCAGAGAGGATATTCTGCTCCCACTTTGGGTAGGTCTTCAAGTTTCAGAGACGGTTCCGAAAGTAGGAATAGTAGTACTGGAAAGGTAAATTCAGGTTTTACTGCTACCTCAGCAGGTGATGGGCCTCCATTATCTCAATGCCTTATGTTGGAGCCGATTGTTGTTGGTGATTCAAAATGTGCCCGACCTGCGGACTTGAGGAGGGCCTTGAATTTTTCTGTTGGGAGCAATTCAGAAGAAAGCTCTTTAGGTGCTGCTCATATGAAGAATTCAACACCTTTGGCTGTAGAGGAACTAAAGCGATTGAGAGCAAATGTCTTAGATACTTATGCTAAAGCAAGGTAATTTTTCCTTTCTCATCAGCGAAGTTGTTCCCAATGATATTGAAGATAATGATGGTCTTAACCATGTTCTAAAAAATTTGTCTTCATTCCCTTTAATCGATTCCTAGTTTACAGTTATTTGATTTTATTACACTAACTTCATTGCAGGTATTATCTTGAAAATCATGTGTCTTCAAGATATACATTCACTTTTTCATTTTATTTGTCTGTATTTTGAAACTTTATATTCTTTCTTTTTTTGTTTTATTAGTGGTAGGGCCAAAAAGTTGGACGAGCATTTAAATAAGTTAAATAAATATGTTGAGACTATGCCACCTAAGAAGAAGAAGCCGCCACAGCAGCAGCGGAATGAACTGATGACTAACGAACGATCTAGTGGGTCAACTTTGAAGATTGGATCTCAGATGCATCGAAATGCTTCAGAGTTAGGAAGCCAGAAATATGATGACCGACCTAAAAGTGCTGGCCTCAATAAACGGTTACGTACATCGGTGGCAGAAAATCGGGTTTGTAAAAATCAACTCATTGAATTACATTTACTTAAGGGATGCATTACTCGTTGCCCATTCAATAATTATTGACTCTCCAGAATATATTTCTATTTGGTATCTTGTCGTTAATTCTTTATCGCTGCCAATGGCTGTTTCATTGTGACACAGAAAGCTGATTAAAAATTGTTCATTACACTCCCTGCCACTGCAACTGAAACTTGTCGCAACAGGATTTTTTCATACTTCATAATGAGCATTCTTTTTATCTTTCGAGCTTTGCTTCTCACACTTTGTTTTTGTGCATTCTGAGAAATTCATTTTTTTTTCCAATCCAGGCAGAATGCAGGAATAATGGGGTGTTGAGGCAGCCTATGATGATGACAAAAGAAAGGGACATGCTTAAAGACAATCCCGATTCTGAAATGGTAGAGGAAAAAATAAGGAGGTTACCTGCCGGTGGAGAAGGCTGGGAAAAGAAAATGAAACGGAAGCGATCTGTCGGTGCTGTATTTTCAAGGTCTGTTGACAATGATGGGGAGCTGAAACGAAATATACATCATAAACTTTCCAGTGAATCTAGCATCCAGTCCAGTGATTCAACCCATGGTTTCAGGTCAGTAAATCATTATACAAATCAATACTTAATTCTTTAGTGACCCTACATGATGAAGTCTTTTCCTTCTCTTTTTATGTGTTCGGCTAGATACTTTGGTGGGCTTTCATCACTAATGTGTATATTGCTGTTTATTTGATGGGTTTCAGAGTGGCGTTGATCTTATAACCTCATTTATAGATTTTGGGATCTATTTTTCCAACATAAGGGATGAAAAGAAAAAAACCATTTTCTACTAACTCATGCCAATTTTAGTAGTGCAGCTGATTTACAGAAAATAGTACTGTTCATAACTCCGCAGATAGACCTGACTTGTTTTTCTGTATGTACTGTTAGAGTGGAGTTGATCTCATGCTTTATTATATATTCTGCGTTCTTTTCCTGTACTGATTATTGGTGGATCTGATTATATGGAAATCCTGATACTTTTTGTAGATATTTGCTAACTATACATAAAACCATTATTTCATTTGAGTTTTGCCTGGGTGCATGGCTCCAGGCATTCTCTACTCCTGCCTCTTTTAGAGGCAGGGCACCTTACATTCTTGAATCTGATGTATGACCATCTTTGACTTAACATAGCCCTCTCCTTCCTTTTGGATCTAGATTAACTGGAAGTTATCTTAGTTCTGTGTTTGTTTTAACTGTTTATCATCCAACAGAGCCTAGTACAAAGTATTTCGTAGATGCGTTCATGTTTTGTCTTCAATATATCATAATTACTATTTAAGTGTAGCTTAGTCAATTTGAACAAGATGCACCTCATTCAGTCTTGGTTTTAAATCTTCAGTCCTTATTTCATTTAAACATGATTCTCTTGTAATCCATCAAACTGGTTCATTTTGGGTCAATTTATTCAGTGGCTCTATCAGCTTTTGCTTGATCAAATTTTACAATAGTTTTCAGTGTGTGGGTTAGTTTAGCCCAGCTTTTGGTTTATTAACTTATTTCCACACTCTATGGAGAAATTTCCTAGATATGGCTCTATTTCTTCTCACCTGGTAGTCCCATAAATCTCAAAATTAACATTAGCACTCTCTAACTCAGCTTTTTTAGTCAATTCACCTTGTGAGAGCACACAGATGGGGAAGTTTAAACAATCTTTAAGTAGTCGTTTTTATGTCAAATCTCAAGTTTGTTTCAATTTCTTATATTTTTATGCACGCTTTGCCTCAGCTTCCTACATTTTTCATTTTTCTGAAAGTGTTCTGCATTTTTTGATTGGATATTTTCATAACTATTATATTATTATATATTAATAATTTCAAAGATCTCCCTTTTCGCGTGAAGTTTATTAGTATTTATGAGAGCGCACATATTGTTGTTTGAAAAGGAGTTTCTCACTGCTTATGGCTGAAATTTACTGGAGTTTATGTCAAATTATGATTGAAGTAGCAAGCATTGCATATTGTGTGATATATGATTCCGTAGAGCTAAATCTATCATCCAAGTTATGAATACATAGTTGAATTATGTGGAATCCATTTATTTGGGCCACAGTTGTAAATGGCGCACCATGGCTATGGCAAGACGCACTGGCGGTGCCATTGCCATTTATTTTATTAGGGTTTATTTTGATTACCATTTATTTTTGTTTACTAGGGTTACATAATATATGGAAAGTTTTATTTTTATCTTTCTTCCTAAGACTCATAGTCGCCGCCCTCCTGTTTTTATATCTCTTTTTTGCCTCTCACCTTTCCTCCCATCTCCCCCTGCGCTGCCGGTCTTCTTCCAGGTAAGGCAGCCGGATAGCTGTTTCAATTTTGCCGTATGAACTGTTTTCTTTTACTGATTAACTTTTTTCCTCTAGTATATTAAAGCTATCCAGTAGTTTTATGTTTTACAGGATGCTTGAATGGTTATTATTGTTTTCTGAAAATGTGATCTATTAATTGCATATATGTCTATTATGTATAATAAATCTATATCGATAGTTATATTGTGTGGGATGCGCCAGGGAATGGTACAGGCCTTGCGCTGTGCTTCATTTATAACTATTATTTATGCTGCAGCATCAGTGAAGCCTACCATTGAAGTAGGTTCTGTGTTTCAAATTGGATGATCATATAAATCCCCAGTTCCTAAAAGTTGGGAGATTGGTTGAGTAGCATGTTATAAAATTTTGAATTCATGTAATATCATTGAGGGCTCATTTTATTTATGTATCTTTTGTGAAATAAGTTTAAATGTTTGAATATTTGAATGTATGTATGAGTTAGTTTATATTCACTGTTCTAACTTAGGTTGATTTTAATTACATTATTAATAATGCTTTAGCCTCATTTCCAAGGTATATGTTTATTGTTGGCATTTAATAGCTGATTTGTCCATATCTAGTTTGATCAGTTGTTGTTTAGTGTGATTTTTTTCTTCTTGATTGGATGCTTTCACTGTGGTGTGGTCTATTGGATATTCCTGAAAAGACTGATTTTATTGTCAAGATTCCCTGGTTTGATTATTTGATTTAATAAATCTTCCAAAATGTATATGACAGATCTGGAACTTCTGGTGGGACTAACAAATTAGATCCCATGCCATCCCCTACTGCAGCTGCTCGACTAGCTTTTAAAAATGAACAAGAAAAGTATCCTGTCTCAAGGGATTCATCTGGTGGACCAAACAAGGAGCGGGCCTTAGGAAAAGTAAATGTCAAGTATGTACCTCCGAACCTCTACATGTGCAAAATATTAGTAGCATATCTGACAGCTAGCTATCGTTTCTTTTCCTCTTTTGTTAACTGTCGAGAATCTGATATTATTATAATTTTTGTTGTTTCTGTTGTGTTATTATAATTCTTGGTGCTGGCCTGCCCTAATTTTGGAGAAAGGAGTTTCCTTGGGTTGATTGCCAGTATAAAAATTTCACTTTTCATGACATAGATTGTATAGAATATTCTTGCTTTAACGGAATGGAGACGGGTGATCAATATAGCCCTTCTTGCATGTGGGGATAAAGACTTAGAAGATGATGATTATTCTTATTGTATTATGTATATATTCACCTTTTAACCAAACTGCATCTTTTGTGGGTTTCCGTTGTAGGTTGACTAATCATGATGAAAACCATGCTATGTCCTCTAGTCCAATAGTAAAAGGAAAGGCTTCAAGGGCTCCGCGCAGTGGATCTATGGTTGCTGCTAACGGTCCTCGCTTACCTGGAACCTTAGAGAGTTGGGAACAGTCCCTAGGTGTGAACAAAACCTCTACTGTCACTGGGGCTAACAATCGCAAGCGTGCTTTGCCTACAGGTTCATCATCTCCTCCAATAACTCAATGGGTTGGTCAGAGACCACAGAAGATCTCTCGTACAAGGAGGACCAATCTTATTCCTGTATCAAATCATGATGAAGTGCTTATGCAACCTGAAGGATGTTCCTCATCAGATTTCGGGCCACGAGTAAGCATTGGTGGAATCAATGCTTCTCTTCTTTCTAAGGGTTCGTCTAATGGAAACCAAAATTTTAAAGTGAAAACCGAGAATGTTCCATCACCTTCAAGACTATCAGAAAGTGAAGAATCTGGTGCTGGTGAAAATCGAATCAATGATAAAGGTGCGGGTAGTAGAGACATGGAAGACAATACTGTGAATGCTGGACAGAATATTGGGCCATCTACAATTCCAATGAAAAAGAATAAAATCATGATTAAAGAAGAGATTGGTGATGGTGTGAGAAGGCAAGGCCGTAGTGGAAGGGTTTCTCCATTTTCTAGGGCTAGCATTTCACCTACGAGAGAAAAATTGGATAATGTGGTTACAGCCAAGCCTGTACGCAATGCAAGGTCTGACAAGAATGGAAGGTAACAAATGGTTTTGCTTGTCAATGTACATACATCATGCTTCTCAAATATAGTATATTCCTCTTTACTAATGAGGGGTTTTGTCTGTTTTCACAGCAAGTCTGGCCGACCTTTGAAGAAGCTATCAGACCGGAAAGGTTTCTCTCGACTTGGGAATGTGGCAAATGGGGGATCCCCTGATTGCAGCGGTAAATCTTTGTTCGTTTCATCTAGGGATTAAGTAATCCTCATTGCATTTTGAATTTTTCTTATCCTGGTCACTATAAAAGGGGTCCAAGATTGGAAGGATATATGGTATTTTAAATAGATTGTTAGACATCCTAAAGTCTTTTTACGATTGCGCTATCATGAGTGGGACTCACTTATTTGCCAACTTTATTTGGCTGCGGAATCTAGAATGATGAGCTTATACTGGTTATGTGGATGATGTCTGCCAAAATTTGTAGATGATGCCCTAATCATTTTCATTTTTGCATCCTGAACTTGTTTTACCTTGCTGTATGGTAAAGAGTAAGCTCGCAACATGAACAGTGATAACCCACGGTAGGACAAAACAGAAGGAAAAATAAAAACTGAAATCCAATCCTATTTCATGGACACTGTAGTTGCTAACTATTAATCCTCACTGATATATGTTGATTTCCAGGGGAATCTGATGACGATCACGAAGAGCTCATGACAGCTGCTAAACAAGCTAGCACTTCTAGCCGTATGTTTCTAGAATCAATGTTCCGTTTTTTTCCTGAAAAGTGCTCTGCCAATCATTTAGTTGCATTTTTACTCTCTGTAGATAATGCATGTTCAAGTGCATTTTGGAAGACATTTGAAGGATTGTTTACTTCTGTTGGCCCAGATGAAAAGTCGTTCTTATCAGAACAGGTTGACTATTTAAAATCTTTGGTATACTATCTAATCTTTTGGCTATGTAATCTTTATGAATTTCATTTCTTTGAATCAGATGAAATTGGTTGAAGAATCATGCACAAGCTTGTCTCAGAACTGTAGCAATGGCAATTACTTTCCAGGGAAATCGGTTTGTGGTTGCTATATTTCTTTCATTATCCACATAGCCTTTTCTTAGGCCTCGATCTTATTTGGCCACAAATCTTGAGTACTACTTTGTATCAGATAATATTTTCTACGTCTATCTAATATACAAAAAATAACCATCTGTTTGTCAGGATGATTATTCCCATGAAGAAATGGCATTCTCCGATTCAATCTCTTCCCGAAGAAATAGATGTTTAAAAAGTGACATTGACTTCAAGGATTCTGCTGAGAAAGTGGAGTTTGCTGGACAAGTTCACAATTCTTCTCCATACAGTGGTTTGGACGTCGAGAAGAAATCTGAGATGGCTCCTCCACTTTACCAAAGGTTACTGTCAGCAATAATAGTGGAAGATGACATCGAAGAGGATGATGAAGCTTTTGGGGAACAAAGGGGTACAGTTAATGATTCATTCCTCGGTACTGAAAGTAAATTTGCAGACAGTCTGGACTATTGTGAGCCAGTATTTGGTGCTCAAACTTGGAAAAATGGTAATGCACATAAAATCTTTCCTTGTAATGGAAATACAGATGTTGATAGAAGTCCTAGTGCCCAAAGCCATTTATGTAACGGTGATCTGGGGCAAAGAGATGGTTACATGCGCCCAGAGGTTGACATGTTGGTCAGACCTTCAACATGCGATTATGCTCCCCAAGGCCTGCAAGCAGATAACAGCGGGATTTCTTATGATTATCAGTATGATCAGCTTGATCTTAACGAAAAAATTATGATGGAGCTCCAGAACATTGGCCTGTTTGTGGATCCTGTGGTAAGTTTCACATTATGGAACTCTAACAAAGGGTTGTGTTGTGAGATATTTCTGTTCTGTTTAGTTGAATTTTTTAGTGTTGAAGATAAGAGAAGCAAACTTTGAGCGATATGTGGTATATTGGATTATCATTTTCTGGACATGTTCAGTATTCATCTTTGCCTTTTGTTTCTGTAAAGCAGCCAGCAGTGGATGACAAAGATGATGAAATCAGTCGAGAAATTGCTCTACTTCAGGGGAAGTATAATGAACAGGTCACCTTCGTTTATCCACTCTCATTGATTTTGTTTTCATTTTTGTCTTCTTGTTTGATTTTTAATCTGACTTCACACCTTCAGATTGTAAAGAAGAAGGCTGCTCTGGACAAAGTATGCCAACGAGTTCAAGAAGAAAAAGATACTGGAAGGTACTCCATAAATAATATTTGGACATATTTTGTTGAGTATTGGTGTTGTGCAAGGTTGAATATATATTGTAAGTATTATGTTGTAACAAGTGTTGCAATTGCATTGCTCTTCAGGAACATGGAGCAGTTAGCAATGGACAGACTTGTCGAGTTGGCATACAAAAAACTTTTGGTTAGTTTTTATGTGCTCTGTATTATTCTCTTTTACATATTGTCAGAACATCCTAAGCTGTCGCACTTGTGAAATTAATTATAACTTGGTTTAATTTACTATTTCATGGACATGTTAGGTTATGGGTTGACAGTGATCATTTGAACAAAGGACCCCTCTGCTCTCATATTTTGTTAAATGACCTCCCTGTTTAAAGTTTACATAAAGAATGGAATTCTTCATTTAATTTGATAGAAATATATGTTGATGCTAAAATATTATTATTATTTTTGTTAGATTTGAAATTAAAGTCTACGAATTGAAAATTTCTTAATGAAAGGAGGTAATTTTGGAAAGAAAGCTGCCGTTATTTGTTGCCTGCATGTCTACATGAATCTTTACATGGGCATGTCCCTTTTCATTTCGTGTATAATATGATCTGCCGAAGAGTGCATCCCTCTTGAAGTTAGTTAGTTGCTATGAAATTTATTAAATACATTCTTTATCTCTTCTATGCCCTTTGACTTTTAGTACACGGGACTTTCCTTTACATCTCCGACATTGAGTGCTTATGGTATTTGACACCTGATTTTAATCACAATGCTTCATATCCATAGTCATTATGATGTTATCTTATGTACACCGTAGTTTCTGTTACATTAGTTTGTTTATAACACAATCAATTCTTAATATATGATGTTAAATACATTAGTGTGTGTTTATGGAATGTCCCACAGGCAACTAGAGGAAGTTTTGCTTCCAAACATGGGATACCTAAGGTGTCGAGACAAATGGCTTTGGCATTTGTCAAGAGGACACTTGCTAGATGCAATAAATTCGAAGCTTCCGGGACAAGTTGCTTTTCCGAGCCTCCTCTCCGCGATGTTGTCTCTGCCCCACCTCCTCAATTTTCAGAGACTGAGCTGCTTTCTTTCGGTAAGTTCACAGTTCCTAATGTTAATCTCTTAAAACCCATAAACATATAGCATTCTGCAGTAATCTATTTGCTTATAGTTCGTTTTAAAGTATGATTTCATTTACAACTCAGGATAATTACGATATATTCAATTGAGCTCCTGTGAGTTTGATCACTAAATCCTCTTCATGTCTATTCACTGAATCTGCTTTGGTTATGTTTGTATGGATGCTATTTGGATAGAAAATGGGCAATTAATGAACAAAGGAAAGAAAAAGGAGGTGCTTCTGGACGATGTTGTTGGTGGGAGTGCATTCAGAGGCATTTCAGGCAGTGCGAAGGGGAAGAGAAGCGAACGCGACAGGGACAAGGATGATCCGAACAAGAACATTGCCAAGACGGGGCGTCTGTGTCCAGGCGGATCCAAAGGTGAGCGGAAAACAAAATCGAAGCCCAAGCAGAAAACAGCGCAGCTCTCCACAGCCTACCCCTCTGTCGAAGCTGCTACAGCTAGTAGGAGAAAAGATGTTCGATTCATGTCCTGTCCTAAAAAGGAGATGAAAGAACCTACTTCGGACTTTGCTATTCCCGACATACAAGGCATGGAAGAACTTGGCGTGGACTCTGAGACCGGCGCTCCTCAGGATTTGAACAATTGGTTCAATTTCGACGTGGAGGGACTGCAGGACCATGACTCGGTGGGACTCGAGATACCGATGGATGATCTGTCGGAGCTGAATATGTTTTGAAGACAACCTTGGAGCTGGTTGGTAATGATTATTATTGTATTGTTATTGTTATTGCATTGTACAGTCGTTTCTGTAACAATCTGGGGATGTTTTTATTGGGCAGGGAATGGGAAGGGATGATTTGAATAGACATTACAGGTCAGGACAAAGACAAGACGTAGACTGTGGGGTTTTTTTTAAGTGTTTTGACAGCTATAATTTATACATGAACTCTTTTGTTGCTATTGAGGATTGTTTTCTTCTCATGATTTTGTGTTTTTGATGATCTTTGTGAGCCGCAATGGTGATGCTGGGGAGTTGGCTGATGTTTTCAATATTTTTTAAAATTTTTAGTTAGAATAGGTTTTTGAGCGGGGATATAAATATGGGCTAAATGTGATGTTTTAAATATAAAATTTGATTTTAGGTGTGTTTGAACTTTGACTTTTGATTGAATAAAAATATTTTGAATTGAAATTATTGTTTGGTAGTGATTTTTATAAATATGTTTTTAGTATAAAATCTTATTGTTTTTTATTTTTAACTATAAAAAATAGAAGGTAATATTATTTGATATTTTTATAGGTAAAAATTTGATAGAATTGCTTAAAAGAATATGTTTTGAAGTTGTTTTGAATAGTTTTTTTTATTTTTTTATTGTAAGATTCGTTTAGCTATAAGAATATCATTTCCCTTTTTTATTGATTTTTAAATATAAATTATTATATTAAAATATAGTATAAATTAAGAAAAAAATACAAAAATATTTAATTAGTGTTTTATAATACTAATAGAAGGACATTTGTACAAAACAAATTAAATAAATATTTTTAATAATAATACAATGACGTAAAAAGTAAATGTGACTTTTAGGTGGGGAGAATACTACATAATCAATAATGTGAATATGATGTATAAATAAAATATAAATTTAACGTATTTGATAAAAAATAAATTAAATTAAATTAATAAATATATTAATACAAATATAATCAAAATTGACAAACAAATAGAGCGTTAACGTAGCATCTTATTTATGTTCGATTCATCATTGTGTGCTTGTTTGTGTCGTGTTTGATTTAAGTCTAGTGCTTTGCCTAGTGGTGTGTTTTAATTTATATATATATTTAAAATTATTATAGTGTTACGATAAGGCAATAGGTAGCTCCTACAATGCATATATCTACGATGCATAATATAAGTGGATCCACTTATATTCCTTCTTCGTCTAAGTGTACCTCTCTCTCTATATATGTATATTGTTAGATAAAGAAATACATAGAAACTTACCCATTTCAGTTTGCTTTTCCAATACATTGAATTACTCTGAAAATCATTACATATTAATGCATATATATATATATATATTACAGTACAAAAAACGGTGGATAGGAGTTTTGAGAATGGGCCTGCCAAAATTAGGTTAGAATTTATTCAAAGTTCAGTGGGTTTTTTGAAAGTCCAAATATAGCTGCAATAACTTGGTCAGGTTAATCCCAAAGGTCGGACGGATGATGAGACTGGACCTGGTCGGGACCTAATAAGTTCGGATATCTAAGTCGGACCTAGTCGGGACAAATCCCGAAGGTCGGGTGTAAGAAGGTCGGGTACTGAAGTTGGACTTGGTCGAGACCTAATAAGGTCGGACATTGAAGTTGGACCTAGTCGGGACAAATCTCAAAGGTCGGGCGTGAGAAGGTCGGGCATTGAAGTCGGATCAAGTCCAAAGGTTAGGTGTAATAAGGTTGGACACAAAATGGAGACAGTACAAGGTTGGGTAGTAAAAGTAGCTAATCTACAGGTCGGGTGTAAAGGCAGTTTCTGATAGTGGAGGGTAGCTTCAACTGGCGAGCGGTTGTCAAAGGTCGGACGTGGTAGGACGGTTCTCATACGTGTCAATAGAAGAGAACTTTTGGGGCAATTAACAGCGATTATGGTAACCGACCGGATAGCGGTTCGAACCGTATCTTTAATGGATCATTTAAGGATTCCGTACTGTACAGAGAGAGGATCTTCAATCCATATCAAATTCAAGAGAATTGCTTTTGGGGATCACCACTTTTATTTTCCAGTCTTTTATTTTATTTTCCCTATTTTATTTTTATGTATTCTACAGTGTTTAGAGATCTCTAATCTCAGACACTCATCTATCAAATTCGGGGATATTTCTCCATTTTCGGATTTTACTTTTTATTGTTGAAAATTTACATCAACAATTTGGCGACCACAGTGGGAGTAAGGCAAGATTGCTGATCCTACGTCAACGGAGAGTTTCATACGATTGAGGTCCGGCCGAATCGTCGGAAGGATCCACATGGCAGGCTCACAGCCTCAAGCATCTTCGGCGCCGGTGGGAGAAACAGTTTCACCACCCGTCATGCCAAATACAGGAGAAATGCCACAAACACCTGCCGACTGGGTTTCTTATGTTCAGCAATTGAACAACCAGCATAATTTGACTATGCAGAATATGTTGCGTGAGCAACAAATGTTGCGGGAGCAGCAAAACCTTATGCAAAATACGTTAAATCAGGCGTTATCAAGGGTTACTTTGCAACCCATCCAGACGCCACCAGAACTATCACCATCCAGGTTACAGACAAATTTTGCGGGGCTTTCATATGTGGACAACACTTTTCCAAGTGTTACTGCCCCAAGGGTTGACAGAGGGAAGACTCCTCTTACATACCCGAATAATATTCCGTTGGGTGTTAGGACCGAGCCTACCGACCTCAAGGGGGAAAGATTGGCAGGCCAGGCTCACAATCCCATTCAGGTATTGGATCCTGTCCCACCCAGAGTAGACCCAGAGGACATTGCTCAGGTCTTGAGAGTACATTTTGGAATGAACCCCCAGACAGTCAACAGACCTGTGTACCAGAGGCCGTTTCCAGAAAGAATCATCAACGAGCATCCGCTTCCAAAGAATTACAGACCACCCGATTTTAATTCATTTTCCGGAGAAGATGGGGCATCAACTATTGAGCATGTGGGACGTTTCACGCCTCAATTAGGGGAAGTAGGCAATAATTCTTCCTATAAATTACAATTGTTCGGGTTATCGCTTACAAGGACCGCTTTTTCATGGTTTGCAAATTTGCCACCCGGGCAGTTGCAAACTTGGGAAAGTCTGGAGGCAGCATTCCATGCAAGATTTTTTAATCCTCTCTCGACAGTCTCACTCACAGATCTTTTAGAGATCCGACAGATGCCAGAAGAGACCGCGTATCAGTTTATTGAACGGATACGACTCATGAAAGGCAGGTGCCCGACAATCATCGAGGAAAGTGAAATGACCAATTTGGCGGTCAGGAACATGCATTCCAGACTTCGGGAGGCATTGACAGCCCATGATGTTCAGGACTTGGCTAGTTTGGCCTCCAAAGCAGGGAGATTGGAGTCTTTGTTTAGAGAAAAAGATCACAATTTCCGTCGGAACAGGGTACATCAAATGGCTAGTGTCGATACAGAAATTTATTCGCCAGATGAAGGGCAAGGAAATATCATTGAAGAGATGGTAGCTGAAATTGTGAGTGGCAAACCGTACGTATGTTCGAAACTAAAGCCATTGCCAGGAACAGAGGAGAAGGAACAGCCGACCTTCGATGAATCCAAGGCCGACGAAATCTTCGACATTCTGTTGGCAGACGGGCAAATTCGCATTTCTAAAGGGCAGCGTTTGGCAACAAAGGAAGAAATAAAGGGAAGGCCATACTGTAAGTGGCATAATTCCTTTACTCATTACACTAATCAATGCACACATTTCCGAAAGGAAATACAGAAGGCTATCAAAGCAGGGAGATTCAAATATGTAACAATGGGAGTAGAGCATCAGCCTTTCCCAAAAGTAACTACTGCAATGATCTTTTTGCGTTCTTCACAAGTCGTGCAAAGTGATGATGAAGAAGACACCAAACGAAAAGAATGCAAGCCAAAAGAACGGGAATCCAATCAGGAAGTAAAATTCAAAGTTTGTGAGACTAGAGTGGCAGAGAAATGGGACAGAGAAGATGGGTCTTTCAAAGTAGAATTAAAAGATAAATTCGTGGTACAAGATCGACCAACGCGCAAACCACATCCAATCCAAGATAAGTGGAGCCGAAATAGAAAGCCTCTGCCAATAGACATAGATCCTCGATTTCCAGGTATGAATCGCACACAAATTCGTAATACTAAACGCAGGTATGCAGCGCGGCATGGAAAGCGAATAGATAAGGGTAAGGAGAAGAAAGAATAATCACCCAAAAGGAAGAGCTTGAATGAGAAGCCTGAGAAGCATTGGCAGACTAGTAAGCCTATCAAGAAGGCCAAATGTTTTCGATGTCAATTCTGCAAAAGAATCAATATTGATCCTGAAATAGAAAATGCAGAGGAAGAAACTCCTGAGATTATTTTTGGATCATTTGCCCCAGAAGAGACGAAAGTTTTGCGGAGCGAGATAGTAAAGCTTGATAAAGCAGGGTTCGAAGTCAGGATGACAGATATGCGATGGTTCGTCGAAGAAGAACCCATTTGGGCAAAGTTCGAGGAGGAGAAAGAACCAGAATGGGCGGCGATGGTTGGCAGACCCCAACCTATGGTTTTTCCACCTATACCAGAAGGAGCAATCCCGCATTTAAAACCACTCTATGTTAACGCTCACATATGTGGTAAGCCGGTTAACAAGGTTTTTTTTATTGATAATAGGGCTGTTTTCAATGTCATGCCACTCAAAACTTTAAGAAAATTGGGCAAAGAGGTTGGCGATTTGTCTCCAGTAGACATCGAGATGACGAGCTTCACAGGACAACCGACCAAACCAGAAGGGACGATGGTGGCACCTATTGAGGTCGGACCAATGGTGATTTCGACCGTGTTTTTTGTTGTGGATGCCAATACTACTTACTCAGTTTTATTGGGGCGAGACTGGATTCACGCTTCCAAGTGCGTGCCTTCTTCTCTCCATCAACAGATCATGTTTTGGGAAAGAGACCAGGTTTTCACCATGGAAGCCAGTACAAATCCGTTCGGTTCTGCAGAAGGAGTGGAAGAATCGGTTCTTTATACGGAGTATGTACCACCGATTTCATGGACAACTATGGTAGATGAGTTTCCCTGGAAGGGCTGTAAGCTCACTACGCTGGGTTGTGTGTTTCATTAGAAACAATCTTTTGTATTATGGTTCTGTTGTCAGCCAAAATAAACTTTTATTTGAAGTTTAATTTATGGAAGAAATAAATAAATGTGATAAACTGATTAGACAGTTTTATTTAAACCAATTAATGGT